TATTAAAATCAGATTTCTTAAAAAAAAAAATTGAATTTATATTAACAATGTAAAGGCGCGTAATATAGTGGCTGTGTGAAAACGGCAAGCGTACGCGTTCGCGTTTCGGAAACGCGTACGCGCGCGATTAATCGCCTAGTGTGTAAGCGGTGTAAGCCACTTATGAAGTTATGACTGCAGAAAGTCTGTAGTTGGGTAGGTATTATCATTGATTATAAATAGTACTATAAGTACCATGGTATATAATACTATTTATAACCAATGGTATTATTTGTTACTCGAATATTAGTAAATTCGTTGAAACGTGTGAGTTCGCGCGCCGAGTCCACCATCGTATAATCGCTAAAAGTTATTTCACTCAAAAAAGTAGCTACATTATTTCAAAACTTTGCGCCTTTAAAATCTTACGCCTAAGACAGAAGCCCCCTGCCCCCTCTTTAATTCAGCCCTTCCGTGTACCTAACATGGAAGTGTGAATATGGATTTATATTTTATATTCAATTTATTTTTTAAAAGTTTTCCTAATTACAGTAGAGTAACCGCTAATCCGGAGAATTTATGTTTTGTATTTAGTATATTGTATTCATGTATAATATATATATATTCGGGAATACCCATAATTAAGATAATATCTGCTTAAGGCGTCTAAGACATCTCACAGCGAAATTAGGTCAATCTTCATTAAAACAAAAAAATATCACGGAGTTTTTCAAGTCTTTATAATAAAAATAATAATGTGTAGGTACCTAATGTAAAATTGTAAACAAATAAATTTTGAATTCGTATAAATACCTACATGACGTGTTTTTTCACACTATATTTATTGTGTTATTATTTATAGTGTTTATTAATTAGTAAGTTAAAAAAAAAAAAAAACGTATTTTCGTTTAAACCGGACTTTTGATAATCCGGAGAGAGTYCGGACCCATCTAGTCCGGAATCCGGATTAGCGGGACTATTGTACATTTCATACATTCAACTACTTAAAAAGTATTTTTTAAATATAATTATGCTATTCCTATTTCGATAAAAACAATAGGTATCTACATGTTTCAGTAGAAAATAAAATAATTATAATTATCATTTATCAGTGATTTATGGTTCAGATGCATTTTAACGTCATATTAGACGTCAATCGTCAATATTAGTCTACTAATGTTTAATAATATAATAGGTAGTTTTTATGCAGTTATTTCTATTCGTTTGTACTTGTCAATTCCACTAATGGACTAACACTAAATAATGCGAATACGGCTACTTGTTATTTTTAGTTAAAGTAAGTAGGTACCTATGAGTTATTTGATTTAAGTAATACAATTTACGGTATTAATCATTGTGGGTCTAAAACTGTTTACGCCGTCATTAGATTTATATAATCTAAAGGCCGGATTGGGTATCGTTTCGARTTGAATATTTTCAAACTGTACATAAAGTGTAGGTAGTCTTGTAAAATATACTTCTTAAAAGTTTTCAAGTACAGATACATATATTTATTTTGAAAAAAATTTAAAATATGTATTCGAATACCTACTTAGTAAAAATAACTATTTGAGTACGAATACAAATACCATATTTTTTCCCACACTTAACCCACGTTTGTAGATATTAAAATTTACGGTAATCCGACACGATATCGTGTCAATACTCGATACTCTGCCCAGTGAGAGAAAACGTCTTCGCGCCGGTTCTGTCTTCTGTGCATGTAGGCTGACAACAGAACACTGGCCGAGGTCTTTGGTGTGAACCTAATACTTACCCAGTTTCCTATATGTCGCKATGGAATCAATTTCGTAACTAAAACAAAGAACATGGGAATAAAAAATTAACTAAAATGTTGAATAGTTGTGTGGGACAAAAGCGGATTCCAAAAGCTGTACGGTCCGCGGTTTGATCACATCAGAATTTCGGRCATTTTTAGAGATTTCGTCGCTTCATGGCATTATAATAATTATCGAGGGTATTTGTCAAAGCTATTGASTATAAAGTGTTTTTTTCTTTAGGAGTAAAAATAATAAAATAACAGTCGTAATCGTACTACAATAAGAACATTATAGACTATAACCTATAGACATAAGCGCAATTTCAATAAAAAAAAACTAAGAGTGCTTAAGCCCTGAATTGTATCATTTTAGTTTTTGTTTCGATACGTAAACACAAAARTTTTATTTGAGGGTACTAATTTCAAAAATTGGGGGTGCTAATACCCCCTAAGCCTTCCCCTATTAGCGCTTATCGCCTACGCCTATAGGCATTAGGCATTAGTAAGATGATTAAAAATTAATAATATCCATTTTACTAAGATAAGGYACCCGACMCGCGGTGTATCGTGTGTTTTAATTGTAGCATTTGTAGCTAATAAAATTGTCATTTTGCGCAGCGGAAAAATACGATCTACCGAATGAGCACGACAAGCGGAAAATATTAAATATAAGACGGCGATAGGAACAACAACAACAGCCGCGGCGGAGTGCATCACACCACCACCACCACCACCGCCACCACCACCGCCGTTTCGTCAACGAGAGATAATCGACGGCGGCAGCGGACGAGCGATAAGGAACCGTCCCGGCGAAACAAAACAGCGACCTGCACGACTACCACGACACACCAAATACAAAAAAATCTATGGTCCGCATCACATTCTACAACACCAGTGTTGCTGTTACCAGCACGCCCAGCCGACCGAAACGTTGAACAGAACACCAACGCTAGAGCGTGACCACCGTCGTTGCCGTCGAGTGTTTTCGTTTTCGGCCGTTCTGCGCGTGCGTGTATTTCTGTGCGCACACCTTGCCGTGTTTGTCTCTGCGCTTGCGTGCGCGTGCGTGCGTGTGCGTGTGTATCTTCATTGTGTAATTGTGTTTGTACTGTGTGTTTGTGCACGGCATTACGTCGTTTTGTTTTCCTGGCGATTTTCCGCTCGTTGTCCGTTTACGTCGATTTCGTCGCCGACACCACCGCAGCCRCCGCCGCCGTCGTTTTTGAACGTCGCACCGTCGTKTCYGCGACGGTTTTCAGTCACGCAGCGAAACACGCCCGCGTGAACGATAGGGGTTCCCAGGGACCGGACACGCGTCGTCGTCGTCGGCACGCCGTCGTGCGGCTGTGCGCGCGCGAACGCAACCGTGGAAACCGCACGCTCTCGGAGATGTGACCGTCGGACTCGTGGCACAGCCGCAGACGCTAGCCGCAAGCAGGCGGTCCAGTTGACGCTAGCCGCTGCGTCCGCAGCCGCCAGCCGCAACATGGCGTCGTCCAACACGGATTCGCCTGGTAAGTGTCTTCGAAGAGCCGTCGCTATAGTCCCCAAACGTCCCTGCCCCCGGCACTCTCTAAACCGACCTAGTCACAACCTTCGTTCGGTTAGGTTAGGTTCGGTCCGGCTGGTACTGAATCCTATGCTGTGCACTAAGCCGGGTTCACACGTTCACGGTTGTTTGAAAGCCAATTCTGCTATCATACGACAATTACAGAGTATGGCATTCGATTGTCTCCTACATTATGTAACAGCATGCAGTATAATATTATGACATTCAAGAACTTGCATGCGTATTTTAATGGTTCAGATGCGTACAGTTTTGTTAGTGCACGCACATCACAAGTGAGATAAAGCAATTGCGATTCTGTGAACTCGGCTTTACTCAATCATCGGCAACTATTTTGGATGCCGTTGATGTGCTTAATATTTTTSCCAACGTTAGAGAACAGGTAACTTACGGCCTACTTTTGTCTTTTGTGGGTGTTGAATGCAAATGTTTATTAAAAAAATTGTAACACCTTGGCACAATAATATCATCTTAAAATCCAATAGGTATTATCAGAATAGTCTGTTGTAGACGAATGGTCGCCAACAATTCAAAATCAGATAGGCACCTGAATAAGAAGTCTGTGTTAATCTTTCACACATTTTTGTGCTTTCTAATTGTAATTAGGTGCCAATATATTAAATYGTTAACAGATTTGATGTTTTTGTTTGCTGATAACCAGGGTTCAGATTTTATAGCAATTGCTAATTATTATAGCACATATATAGATAAAAATAACAAAGCTATAATTTGGTACCTACCTATAAATAGGTTTTATGCACCAGAGACTAAATATGTAATTTTACTATTTTTTTTTGCATATTTTATAAACCTTTTATAGAGTTTTACTGCTATTTTTGACAATATAATGAAAAATACTAGGAAAAATAGTATATTTTGTATAAATACATAATATAAAAATAGTAGGTACTTATTAATTTATGTGAAGTGGCATGACTAATGAACTAAAAACACTAGTACTAGTCCACCCGATTATTACATGTAAAACATACAACAGATTGTAGTTTTTTACCTCAACAAAAAAGCAATTAAGTTTACTAAAAATTGTTTTAAGTAAAAATGTTGAATATTAAATTGTTCATTGGTTCGACTTGGTTTGAAATATTTAATTAACAAATAAGACTGTAAATTAGGTTTTTATAACAKAAGCTTAGAGAAACATTTCATGAATTAGGTAAATGTAACTCAAATGTTCAATTCTGAAAATAAATATTTTTAATTGTATAACATTTTTAACAAATTTAATTACGTTTTGTAATTGATCATTTATGCTCTCAATCATTCCATGAATTGTATGTTAAATTCTCAAATCCTAGAAAACATAAATTATTTATATTTCAACAAACACCTATATTTTTTTTTTAAATTAATACTCTGTTAAAAAGCAATAAGCAAAAGCCAAGCAAGTATAAGCAACTATTAAATGTAATTTATGTATCATGTATATAAATTCCAATAATTTTGATATTTAAATAAACGTGATTAATTTTGCATCACAATACACAGTGTAATATTTTGTTTTTAAACACTTTATTATAGTAATTG